TGTAAAGTAGTGAATTGCTGTAGATTGTGTAAAATTTGACAAGTGAACTTTTTTTCTGAAAGCTTACAACACAAGAATATATGTCTGTAATCTGGACAAACAAGGTAGGGTTTGATGTAGTTATTCATTTGTTGATATGTTGAGTGTTGTTTCTTCCAAAAAGTACAGTTCAAGTGTGTAAAATGCAATGTAAATAAATGTGTATTTCTGTTAGTTAGCTAATATAGTGTCTGTTTGTCATTTGATATGTGTTCAACATCCATTTTAAGGTTGTTTTGTCACGTGGAATTAGACTGGAAGTGAGTAAATGCTCTCAAGCAACGTACCTATTAGTCGCTTTGCGCCATCAATGAAATTATGATAACGGGTTTGACAGGTCGAGGCCTTTCATGGCCTGGGATGCCCATACACAGCAAGGCTTGGACTAAAATGTCTGCCACTTCCTTATATTCAATGACCAGAAGATATCATTAGCTTAGAGGGGAGGTCTTCAAAACATTCTAAAAATGTGTTTTTTATCTCAGCATGAAATTGTTTTGACTGACATTGTCGGCTTTAAGAAAAGATGTATTAGAGATTGTTACTTGTACAGAATTCCTGATCAAATCGTTTGATTTTGTGAAAGTTCAGGATGTTTTTCATTTTGATTTCTCTTTATCTGTTGGTTTGTCTGATATCCACTTTTGATTTTACCATTTATTGTGTATTTTGTGAATTTGCCACAGTCCACAGGATTCTCTGCTAACAAAAAAATGAGCAAAATCATTATGAAAATTTCTGAGTATTTCTTTTTTTTTCCAAAATGTTGAAAAAAATTAATGAGTCAGTAGAAAGAAAGGGGACAGTCAGGGATAATGTTATGTTGGTACTCTGACTCTCTAGAGAAGATGACACGCCAATTGTCTCCAATGAGAAAAAATACACCAATTACCTTCTTTATGAGAATCAGTATCTACATTGTAGTTCATGGCCCAGATTTTACAACTACATATTTGTAGCTTGATCAGTAGATTGCACTACAAACAAACCTTACCTTATGCAAGGCTACCAACAACTGTTAAGTGTATATAATGGGAGATAACTCTAGATCTAGATCTTTCAATCTAAATTATTTGCCAGCCCTGATTGATTTTACAGACAAATTTGAATTGAATCCATTCAAGCATTAAGGAAGAGTAGCATTTTGAAGCAAATTATTATCAAACTACCCTTTGAGTCCCATCCACTGGTCCCTTGGAGTTGCATCTAATTTCTGAATTTAAGAAATGATCCCCCACCAACAATTGTGTCTCAGGCCATATTTGGTTGAAATCTATGAAGGAATTAAGCAGGAGTAGTGTTTTAAGGGAAAAGCCATCTTGTTAAGGGTGTATTTACTACAACAATGAAATCAAGTACAAGGTCTGACATAACACAACAGACTTTGACCAGACGCTTTGTACTGTGTCTTGTTAATATAGACCCACCTAAATGTTTCTAATTCTGTATCTTAATCATAACAATATACTAGAATGCTACAGGGACATTATTGATGTTAGATGTGAAAATATTCATCTGAGAACAACAATTAACTCCTCAATTTGTACCCCTACACTTCCTAAACATTTGTACCCCTACACTTCCTAAACATTTGTACCCCTACACTTCCTAAACATTTGTAACCCTACACTTCCTAATCATTTGTACCCCTACACTTCCTAAACATTTGTACCCATACTCTTCCTAAACATTGTACCCATACTCTTCCTAAACTTTTGCACCCATACTCTTCCTTCTTCCTAAACATTTGTACCCCTACTCTTCCTAAACATTTGTACCCCTACACTTCCTAAACATTTGTACCCACACTCTTCCTAAACTTTTGTACCCACACTCTTCCTAAACTTTTGTACCTCTACTCTTCCTAAACATTTGTACCCCTACACTTCCTAATCATTTGTACCCCTACACTTCCTAAACATTTGTACCCCTACTCTTCCTAAACATTTGTACCCCTACACTTCCTAATCATTTGTACCCCTACACTTCCTAAACATTTGTACCCCTACTCTTCCTAAACATTTGTAACCCTACACTTCCTAATCATTTGTACCCCTACACTTCCTAAACATTTGTACCCCTACACTTCCTAAACATTTGTACCCCTACACTTCCTAAACATTTGTAACCCTACACTTCCTAAACATTTGTAACCCTACACTTCCTAATCATTTGTACCCACACTCTTCCTAAACATTTGTACCCACACTCTTCCTAAACATTTGTACCCATACTCTTCCTAAACTTTTGCACCCATACTCTTCCTTCTTCCTAAACATTTGTACCCCTACTCTTCCTAAACATTTGTACCCCTACTCTTCCTAAACATTTGTACCCATACTCTTCCTAAACATTTGTACCCATACTCTTCCTAAACATTTGTACCCATACTCTTCCTAAACATTTGTACCCCTACTCTTCCTAAACATTTGTACCCCTACTCTTCCTTAACATTTGTACCCCTACACTTCCTTCTTCCTTAACATTTGTACCCCTACTCTTCCTAAACATTTGTACCCATACTCTTCCTAAACATTTGTACCCATACTCTTCCTAAACATTTGTACCCACACTCTTCCTAAACATTTGTACCCATACTCTTCCTAAACATTTGTACCCATACTCTTCCTAAACATTTGTACCCCTACTCTTCCTTCTTCCTAAACATTTGTACCCCTACTCTTCCTTAACATTTGTACCCCTACTCTTCCTAAACATTTGTACCCCTACTCTTCCTTCTTCCTTAACATTTGTACCCCTACTCTTCCTAAACATTTGTACCCCTACTCTTCCTTCTTCCTTAACATTTGTACCCCTACTCTTCCTTAACATTTGTACCCCTACTCTTCCTAAACATTTGTACCCATACTCTTCCTAAACATTTGTACCCATACTCTTCCTAAACATTTGTACCCCTACTCTTCCTTCTTCCTAAACATTTGTACCCACACTCTTCCTAAACATTTGTACCCCTACTCTTCCTTAACATTTGTACCCCTACTCTTCCTAAACATTTGTACCCATACTCTTCCTAAACATTTGTACCCATACTCTTCCTAAACATTTGTACCCACACTCTTCCTAAACATTTGTACCCATACTCTTCCTAAACATTTGTACCCATACTCTTCCTAAACTTTTGCACCCATACTCTTCCTTCTTCCTAAACATTTGTACCCATACTCTTCCTAAACATTTGTACCCATACTCTTCCTAAACATTTGTACCCATACTCTTCCTAAACATTTGTACCCTTACTCTTCCTAAACATTTGTACCCACACTCTTCCTAAACATTTGTACCCCTACACTTCCTAAACATTTGTACCCATACTCTTCCTAAACATTTGTACCCATACTCTTCCTAAACATTTGTACCCATACTCTTCCTTCTTCCTAAACATTTGTACCCACACTCTTCCTAAACATTTGTACCCACACTCTTCCTAAACATTTGTACCCATACTCTTCCTAAACATTTGTACCCACACTCTTCCTGAACATTTGTACCCATACTCTTCCTAAACATTTGTACCCCTACACTTCCTAAACATTTGTACCCATACTCTTCCTAAACATTTGTACCCCTACTCTTCCTAAACTTTTGTACCCACACTCTTCCTAAACATTTGTACCCACACTCTTCCTAAACATTTGTACCCATACTCTTCCTAAACATTTGTAATCCTACTCTTCCTAAACATTTGTACCCATACTCTTCCTTCTTCCTAAACATTTGTACCCACACTCTTCCTAAACATTTGTACCCATACTCTTCCTAAACATTTGTAATCCTACTCTTCCTAAACATTTGTACCCATACTCTTCCTAAACATTTGTACCCATACTCTTCCTAAACATTTGTAATCCTACTCTTCCTAAACATTTGTACCCATACTCTTCCTAAACATTTGTACCCATACTCTTCCTAAACATTTGTAATCCTACTCTTCCTAAACATTTGTACCCATACTCTTCCTAAACATTTGTACCCATACTCTTCCTAAACATTTGTACCCATACTCTTCCTAAACATTTGTAATCCTACTCTTCCTAAACATTTGTACCCCTACTCTTCCTAAACATTTGTACCCCTACTCTTCCTAAACATTTGTAATCCTACTCTTCCTAAACATTTGTACCCATACTCTTCCTAAACATTTGTACCCATACTCTTCCTAAACATTTGTACCCATACTCTTCCTAAACATTTGTACCCATACTCTTCCTAAACATTTGTAATCCTACTCTTCCTAAACATTTGTACCCATACTCTTCCTAAACATTTGTACCCATACTCTTCCTAAACATTTGTAATCCTACTCTTCCTAAACATTTGTACCCATACTCTTCCTAAACATTTGTACCCATACTCTTCCTAAACATTTGTAATCCTACTCTTCCTAAACATTTGTACCCATACTCTTCCTAAACATTTGTACCCATACTCTTCCTAAACATTTGTAATCCTACTCTTCCTAAACATTTGTACCCATACTCTTCCTAAACATTTGTACCCCTACTCTTCCTTCTTCCTAAACATTTGTACCCACACTCCTCCTTCTTCCTAAACATTTGTACCCACACTCTTCCAAAACATTTGTACCCACATTCTTCCTAAACATTTGTACCCACACTCTTCCTAAACTTTTGTACCCATACTCTTCCTAAACATTTGTCCCCAAATCTTTTTATTTTTCTTGTCTTGATATCCCCATGAAAAACATTTCATTTTTCTAATCCATCTTGAAACTAAATCTGCAAAAATAACAAAAATGGGAATTCTACACATGAGATTTGAAAACGACCCAACCAGCTCTTCTTTTTAAAAAAACAGCAATAACATTTTGTGAATGAGAAAGTCCAAGATGGCTGCCAGTCAGTGATCTTGTGCCTGGAAACAAAACATTTATAACTGATGATAAAGATGTTCGGATAGTGTAAGATTTAGTAGATACCTACCTAGTATATAAGCTGCTATAAGCTTCTGATGAATAGACAGGTGGAGATATTCTGGGAGGCTTGTTTCACTGTCCATACCCTGAGTAGGCATCATTAGAGCCAGGATACAGGATACTGCAGCCAGAAGGATGATGAGACTGGGACCTCCACCTCGTACATTTCCTACAGGCCCTAAAACATTAACCATCATACATCGTCAGTACACAGATAACAAGATAAAGAGATACATGTCTATTGTTTGTAATGACACTTTAATCTACATGTATAAAAGTTCTGATCCTGTCCTTAAATAACCCTGTTAGGTAAATTCTCATGATGATAAATCCTTTAATCTTTATAAGTAGGTTTCCAAAATAAAGATGGCCCAATTTGATTACAAAAAGGTATAAAACTTCACTTAACAAAAGATCACAGAGGGGTTCTGGCACAATTAAAGAATTAATTTTATTATTTCTATGCAAGGCTAATCTTTCTTTACTTCATCCTTTCTTTCTTTTTTTTCTCCTAATTATGAAATCAAAGATCTAATAAAACTTGTTGAGAAATAGCATGAACAAACCTCAACTTTTAAAGTCCAAAATGGTCTCAATACAACAAGGGACCATGGGGAACATAAACTGAAATTTTATTTAATATCCCCCAGTACTTTGCTTGAAAAAGCGATAAATCTTTAACTGTCAAAACCCAAGATGGCTGCCTGTCTACCATTTTGTTTTACTGATCAGTACTTAAATCAAACGTTCAAAATTAGAGACCATCCGGAACATACAAATAAGTTCAGAGAAATCCCTTCAATACTTCTCAAGAAATAGTGGTAACAAACTTCAACTATCAAACTCCAAGATGGCCACCCAGCTATCTGCCATTTTGTTTCAATGATAAAACTCAAAGCTGATTAGGCACAACTAGGGACTGAGGGTTTCCTACATGTCGTATATCTAAGAAACACCTCTCCTGTACTTCTTAATGGATAAAGGACCATTTGTTTCTACAGTAATGGCTTCATTGAGTTAAACAGACTAAACAGCAAGTTAGTATGACACCACTGATTAATTTAATAAGGTTTAATAAATGTACACATTTGTATATACAGTGCTATGTACTTTACTTACTGATATCCGTGAATTACAACATTAACCCTGTCCCAGTATATTTCTATGGTTACAAGGTAACCAGGCCAACACCACATAATGTAAATTCACACAAAGTAGGAAACAGAAATCCAATATCTGTTTGAAATGGTAAATAATGCCAAGGAACTGTTCAGATATTAGAGGCCTATTTTTACGATTTCAGGGGATTAATTGTTATACATGTACCATTGGACTTACCCTATATATAGCTAGCTTCCAACGAAATTACATAGAAACAACTACATCTCAATGTCACACGTTTGTTGTTTCCTGTTTAGAGTAAAATGTTAAAACACTGGTGAACTTCACAGTAAGGGAATTTTTTCCTAATACACTGGTGAACTTCACAGTAAGGGATATTTTTCTTAATACACTGGTGAATTTTACAGCAAGGGAATTTTTTCCTAATACACTGTTGAACTTCACAGGAAGGGAAATTTTTCCTTATACAATGGTGAACTTCACAGTAAGGGAAATTTTTCCTTATACAATGGTGAACTTCACAGTAAGGGAATTTTTTCCTAATACACTGGTGAACTTCACAGTAAGGGATATTTTTCCTAATACACTAGTGAACTTTACAGTAAGGACATTTTTCCTAATACACTGGTGAATTTTACAGCAAGGGAATTTTTTCCTTACACTAACTTCAATGGTTTTTCCTTATACAATGAACTTCACAGTAAGGGATATTTTTCTTAATACACTGGTGAATTTTACAGCAAGGGAATTTTTTCCTAATACACTGGTGAACTTCACAGTAAGGGATATTTTTCTTAATACACTGGTGAATTTTACAGCAAGGGAATTTTTTCCTAATACACTGGTGAACTTCACAGTAAGGGAATTTTTTCCTAATACACTGGTGAATTTTACAGCAAGGGAATTTTTTCCTAATACACTGTTGAACTTCACAGGAAGGGAATTTTTTCCTTATACAATGGTGAACTTCACAGTAAGGGAATTTTTTCCTAATACACTGGTGAACTTCACAGTAAGGGAATTTTTTCCTAATACACTAGTGAACTTTACAGTAAGGACATTTTTCCTACTCAGAGTTTACATTAATGGCTGATGGAATCTAATGATGTGATTTTATAGAATGGCAGGTGGAAACAAGTCATTTTATAAAACAATGGAACTACATAGGAAATAAAAACTGTATATAAGATTACCTTGACGAGAGGAGCTCGGAGGCTGGATGGTGTCCTTTCCTCGTCCTGGTACAGGCATTGACATAAAGGTATCTTCTAAACTTGGAGGTGAACTTTCCTTTTTTGGTAACAGGACTGATATCACCTCCTTTCTTCCTACAATTACAGATCAATATCATCTCATCATTTAGAATGTGAAAAGACAAAAAAAATCGTTAAGAACCTTTAACAAAGAATGAATGGTTTATGTGCAGTAAGTTATCTCATTAGAGTCTAGAGAATACTGTATACTCAGTGATCTATTTCTAAGATATTTAATTTTGCTATATTCGTGGTCACTGAAAACAACACTATTCTGAAAAAACATCAAGAAGATACCAACATGGCAACATAATCATACTTCAAACTCAACTTCCATAAAACAAGAGCAAAATAGGAACAAAAGAAAGATTTACACGGAGATGTTTGTACAAGGAGAATAAAACCAGGTGTTCTGCTTCAACAATGACATCTGTCATGTACACCTTGGTCAATCCAAGTACGTAATGTCATGTTCTCAAATGAGAACAAGGTATACAACGGAGCCAACAAGCAAGCTAATGAGCAGCAAATACGTCCAGCTTCATGTCACACAAAGAAATAGAATATTTCTAAATGAGATCACTATGACGGACGTAAAACTTCCCCATAATCAACCTGCATCTTTTGAACCCTTCTGTTACAAGTTTGTCTGTCAGTTGACGACTTCTTGCAGGAAAATCATGATAATAGGAACAGGCCCATGAATATTGAATTAAATGTGACATGTAAACACCATAGGTTGGAAAGGTAATCTAAAAACCCTGCAAACACTTTTACAGAAAATTTTAATCTTAATTAATATAACCGTTTACATGGATAACAGACAAAAGAGAAATTCAATCTCTGTGAACTAATTCAAACTGTGACAATCGTGAAACACCATGTGAAACGAACAACAACAACAGATCAGATCACGGGGGGGGGGGGGTTGGGTTAAGGCACAACGTCCCCTAATTGATGATTTTGTCAATTCTTCCTGGGAGGGTGGAGGCACAATGTCCCCTAATTGATGATTTTGTCAATTCTTCCGGGGAGGGTGGAGGCACAATGTCCCCTAATTGATGATTTTGTCAATTCTTCCGGGGAGGGTGGAGGCACAACGTCCCCTAATTGATGATTTTGTCAATTCTTCCGGGGAGGGTGGAGGCACAGTGTCCCCTAATTGATGATTTTGTCAATTCTTCCGGGGAGGGTGGAGGCACAACGTCCCCTAATTGATGATTTTGTCAATTCTTCAGGGGAGGGTGGAGGCACAACGTCCCCTAATTGATGATTTTGTCAATTCTTCCGGGGAGGGTGGAGGCACAACGTCCCCTAATTGATGATTTTGTCAATTCTTCCGGGGAGGGTGGAGGCACAACGTCCCCTAATTGATGATTTTGTCAATTCTTCAGGGGAGGGTGGAGGCACAATGTCCCCTAATTGATGATTTTGTCAATTCTTCCTGGGAGGGTGGAGGCACAATGTCCCCTAATTGATGATTTTGTCAATTCTTCCGGGGAGGGTGGAGGCACAACGTCCCCTAATTGATGATTTTGTCAATTCTTCCGGGGAGAGTGGAGGCACAGCGTCCCCTAATTGATGATTTTGTCAATTCTTCCGGGGAGGGTGGAGGCACAACGTCCCCTAATTGATGATTTTGTCAATTCTTCAGGGGAGGGTGGAGGCACAACGTACCCTAATTGATGATTTTGTCAATTCTTCCGGGGAGGGTGGAGGCACAACGTCCCCTAATTGATGATTTTGTCAATTCTTCCGGGGAGGGTGGAGGCACAACGTCCCCTAATTGATGATTTTGTCAATTCTTCCGGGGAGGGTGGAGGCACAACGTCCCCTAATTGATGATTTTGTCAATTCTTCAGGGGAGGGTGGAGGCACAACGTCCCCTAATTGATGATTTTGTCAATTCTTCCGGGGAGGGTGGAGGCACAACGTCCCCTAATTGATGATTTTGTCAATTCTTCCGGGGAGGGTGGAGGCACAACGTCCCCTAATTGATGATTTTGTCAATTCTTCAGGGGAGGGTGGAGGCACAACGTCCCCTAATTGATGATTTTGTCAATTCTTCAGGGGAGGGTGGAGGCACAACGTCCCCTAATTGATGATTTTGTCAATTCTTCAGGGGAGGGTGGAGGCACAACGTCCCCTAATTGATGATTTTGTCAATTCTTCAGGGGAGGGTGGAGGCACAACGTCCCCTAATTGATGATTTTGTCAATTCTTCAGGGGAGGGTGGAGGCACAACGTCCCCTAATTGATGATTTTGTCAATTCTTCCGGGGAGGGTGGAGGCACAACGTCCCCTAATTGATGATTTTGTCAATTCTTCAGGGGAGGGTGGAGGCACAACGTCCCCTAATTGATGATTTTGTCAATTCTTCAGGGGAGGGTGGAGGCACAACGTCCCCTAATTGATGATTTTGTCAATTCTTCAGGGGAGGGTGGAAGCACAACGTCCCCTAATTGATGATTTTGTCAATTCTTCAGGGGAGGGTGGAGGCACAACGTCCCCTAATTGATGATTTTGTCAATTCTTCAGGGGAGGGTGGAGGCACAACGTCCCCTAATTGATGATTTTGTCAATTCTTCTGGGAACAAAAAGTAAACCAAGTCTTCACTAAAGCAGGGTAGAATGTAGGACACATGTTAGTGAGGACAGGGGAAAATGTAGATCACTGTAAACTTTGCTATGTATGTTGTAGTATTCCATGTATTGAATGTTGGATAAAACATCCTGATGAACAGGAAGAAATTCCAAACAGAAACTTACCAAGTATTTTTTTCTGTCCATGTTCTACAACCTGAATCCTGAACTTATCCTTGATACCTTCATTGTTGATACATATATCTATATGTCGTATCACACTGAAACATAAAACAAATCATCTAATGTGAAACCCAAACAATGTGCTCTTAAACATATTGTCTATTTATCCACACATGTGTAATACATGTCATTTCTCACTTATATATAACATGTCATTCAACACATGTGTATTATATGTATTTCCTCACATGTGTATTACATATCATTCCTCATATATGTGTATTACATATCATTCTAACATGTGTATTACAGATCATTCCACACCTGTGTATTATATGTCATTCCAAACATGTGTATTATATATCATTACACACCTGTGTATTATATATCATTCCACACATGTGTATCTTGTCATTCCACACATGTGTATTATATATCATACCACACATGTGTATTATATGTCATTCCACACATGTGTATTATATATCATTCCACACATGTGTATTATATATCATTCTACACATGTGCATTGTCATTCCACACGTGTGTATTATATGTCATTTCACATGTGTATTATATGTCATTTCTCACATGTGTACTATATACCATTCCACACATGTGTATTATATGTCATTTCTCACATGTGTACTATATACCATTCCACATATGTGTATTATATATAATTCTACACATGTGTATTATTTATCATTCTACACATGTGCATTATGTCATTACACACATGTGTATTATATGTCATTCCACACATAGAGTGGTTAAATGACATAAGTCTGGGGTCAGGACAGAAAAGAGGCTGGATGTTTCTACGGCACCAGTCCTAGATCAGGACAGAACAGAGACAGGGTGTTTCTATGACACCAGTCGTGGATCAGGACAGAACACAGACAGGGTGTTTCTATGACAACAGTCCTGGATCAGCACAGAACAGAGACAGGGTGTTTCTATGACAACAGTCCTGGATCAGCACAGAACAGAGACAGGGTGTTTCTATGACAACAGTCCTGGATCAGCACAGAACAGAGACAGGGTGTTTCTATGACACCAGTCCTGGATCAGGACAGAACAGAGACAGGGTGTTTCTATGACAACAGTCCTGGATCAGCACAGAACAGAGACAGGGTGTTTCTATGACACCAGTCCTGGATCAGGACAGAACAGAGACAGGGTGTTTCTACAGCACCAGTCCTAGATCAGGACAGAACAGAGACAGGGTGTTTCTATGACAACAGTCCTGGATCAGGACAGAACAGAGACAGGGTGTTTCTATGACACCAGTCCTAGATCAGGACAGAACTGAAACAGGGTGTTTCTATGACACCAGTCCTGGATCAGGACAGAACAGAGACAGGGTGTTTCTACGGCACCAGTTCTAGATCAGGACAGAACAGAGACAGGGTGTTTCTATGACACCAGTCCTGGATCAGGACAGAACAGAGACAGGGTGTTTCTATGACACCAGTCCTAGATCAGGACAGAACACAGACAGGGTGTTTCTATGACACCAGTCCTAGATCAGGACAGAACAGAGACTGGGTGTTTCTATGGCACAAGTCCTAGATCAGGACAGAACAGAGACAGGGTGTTTCTATGACACAAGTACTAGATCAGGACAGAACTGAAACAGGGTGTTTCTATGACACTAGACTGGATCAGAACAGAGACAGGGTGTTTCTATGACACCAGACCTAGATCAGGACAGAACTGAAACAGGGTGTTTCTATGACATTAGACTGGATCAGAACAGGTGCTTAAAACATCAGTTTAGGAAATCCAGATATACACCAAGTCTTGTCCTAGACATTTTAGCAAACATAAAAAACTACAACCATCACATACAGTGATAACTATAAATTTCTATGACTAATCACACAGCCTGGTAAATATATAGTACCACTGCTAGTGTTATGCTACCATTGAAAGACAAACTCTTACTCTTTTGGAATTGCTTTGAAAATTAGTGTCATTTCAGGAAGTTCTTTCAGGAAAAAATGGCACAGTACCGGAAGGAATCATTAATAGAGATACCCTGCCTCATTGGAACTAACTAAGTTTTCTCTCTCTAGACCTTCAGGAAAGAATCTTTCCTGTTGTCTTGTATATTAATGGTTTGAATTTGGGACTTGGGTCAGTGTTATTTAGAATTTTGTGATAAAATGCAGCAAACATGAGTGTCCAGTGCGGTTGTGATTAAAAAGATGTATCCCCATCTCACTTGTCTCTTCCATGAGATCTATACTTACATATCACAACAACATTTCTCCTTGATTGTGCCCTCGGCCTCCACCACTGTGTATTTTCTTGGAGTGGTACATAGTACTGTAAACATTCAATTAAAAATTTAATGACTGTCATTTAATCAGGTCATCTACTAAAGAGTAAAAAAGAAAAATAATCTGTACCCAAGTTATGTAATTAATGTATGAAAGCTTGATAATATAATATGTAATATATTATAATCTACCTGAAAAATGCAAAGTTTCTATTAATGATAAGGTCAACATTCTGCTAAATAGGCAAAATAAAATCTTCCAGGTATGCATGTTTGTTAAAAAGCTTATAATATATATACAAATGTCCTTTCATTATATATATGATTTACCTGTATGTTTTCACACATATGAATAGAGATGAAATTTTGTAAAATTTTGTACCTTTAAATCTGAGTGGAAAGTCGTATGGATTGTACAGAGTAAGGACCTGCTTGTGTGTGGACTGGTCATCTGAATAAAATGTCAGAGAAGATGGAAACACAAACACCGGCAGCTTCCCATCCACCAACTGTGATTGGTTAAACATTGATCTTCTTCCTCTCTCATACCACCCGTCAGACTTCAGGATCTAAAGTAAAACAGAAAACCTGTCATACAGTGTACCAACCATCAGACTTCAGGATCTAGAGTAAAACAGAAAATCTGTCATACCAACCATCACACTTCAGGATCTAGAGTAAAACAGAAAACCTGTCATACCACCCATCACACTTCAGGATCTAGAGTAAAACAGAAAACCTGTCATAACACTCGTCACACTTCAGGATCTAGAGTAAAACAGAAAACCTGTCATACCACTCGTCACACTTCAGGATCTAGAGTAAAACAGAAAACCTGTCATACCAACCATCAGACTTCAGGATCTAGAGTAAAACAGAAAATCTGTCATACCACTCGTCACACTTCAGGATCTAGAGTAAAACAGAAAACCTGTCATACAGTGTACCAACCATCACACTTCAGGATCTAGAGTAAAACAGAAAACCTGTCATACAGTGTACCAACCATCACACTTCAGGATCTAGAGTAAAACAGAAAACCTGTCATACCACCCGTCACACTTCAGGATCTAGAGTAAAACAGAAAACCTGTCATACAGTGTACCAACCATCAGACTTCAAGATCTAGAGTAAAACAGAAAACCTGTCATACCACTCGTCACACTTCAGGATCTAGAGTAAAACAGAAAACCTGTCATACCACTCGTCACACTTCAGGATCTAGAGTAAAACAGAAAATCTGTCATACCACTCGTCACACTTCAGGATCTAGAGTAAAACAGAAAACCTGTCATACAGTGTACCAACCATCACACTTCAGGATCTAGAGTAAAACAGAAAACCTGTCATACCACTCGTCACACTTCAGGATCTAGAGTAAAACAGAAAACCTGTCATACCACCCATCACACTTCAGGATCTAGAGTAAAACAGAAAACCTGTCATACCACTCGTCACACTTCAGGATCTAGAGTAAAACAGAAAACCTGTCATACCACTCGTCACACTTCAGGATCTAGAGTAAAACAGAAAATCTGTCATCCATCACACTTCAGGATCTGTCACTTCAGGATCTACCAGAAAACCTGTCATACCATCACTTCAGTCACACTTCAGGATCTAGAGTAAAACAGAAAACCTGTCATACCACTCGTCACACTTCAGGATCTAGAGTAAAACAGAAAACCTGTCATACAGTGTACAAACCATCAGACTTCAGGATCTAGAGTAAAACAGAAAACCTGTCATACCATTCGTCACACTTCAGGATCTAGAGTAAAACAGAAAACCTGTCATACAGTGTACAAACCATCAGACTTCAGGATCTCGAGTAAAACAGAAAACCTGTTATACAGCTTTGTATCATTTCTCTACATATTCTTTCAAAACCTGAATCTAAAAAACAACAACGTTGTGTGGAGAGATTTCAAAACTTACATGTGTGCTCCAGTATATATATGTAATAGATCCCCTGGATTTTAAAGATAATATCACATCATTATCATTTCAAAAAAACTTGTTTCAGATTGGAATATCAAGACTTCAGATCGTTCTGCAAAAATAATAAGGCAAGACAACATACCGACTGTCCATTAACGAATTTACAGCCAGGGACACTTAAGGAAGTGCTAGTACTTGGCAACTAAACCCACTGACCAGTGGCCAGTACATCCCTGGCAACTGAACCCACTGACCAGTGGCCAGTACATCCCTGGCAACTGAACCCACTGACCAATGGCCACTACATACTTGGCAACTGAACCCACTGACCAGTGGCCAGTACATACTTCGCAACTGAACCCACTGACCAGTGGCCAGTACATACATGGCAACTGAACCCATAGCCCAGAGGTGAAGGGACAGACACCTTACCCATTCGGTCACCACAACCCCAAAAACTGTACTGGCAATATTGTACCATTAGGCAGTGGCGTAATAGAATCATAGTGAGGATGGCTGCTTAGACAAAACCAGAGTGGTTCGTAACATTGTGTTGTTTCATCAAAAAATTGTCTTAAAATGCATCGCAGAGCTTCCTCATTTTCAATACACCCTCTCGTACTTTCCCCCGCGAGCCTGTGGCTCGCACAAGGGCCAGTGGCCCTTGACCACCTACTTAATGTTATCATCCATGTACTCTAAAAAGTCTTGAACACACTGGTGTAACACAAAATGATATGACATTTACAATACACGTGCGGATCTGGGTATAACTAATCAGTAATTCATCATGTCCATCTGTAACCTGATTACCATACATTTTTTATCAATGTTACTTGAGTTAAGAATTAGCAAAACGTTGCTATGAAGCAATTACTTTCTTCTAAGTAAGCATTCCCTTACTCATTGGTGACTAATCTGCATTGTTTACGTCCAGTGACGTCCCGTGCTGAAGATCTACAAAGTAAACAAGTCGATAAATGCAGACGTGTTTTCTCATCAAGTTACACACCTGTGTTTCGCATTAAACCACGGAGAATCCAGTGATTTCTGGAAACCCTTATGATTCTGATCATTCACTCAACCTTCAAAAACAAAAGGATATGGCACAAGATCTAAATATGGAAACTTAAATCAGCTGTTTCTTTGCCCTTTCTGTTATGTTTTGAGAAAGACGTCACAGGATTTTGTGTTGTCTGCTTCGTCAGGCAATGATCGAGATCTTCTGGACGCTTGGCGAAGATAGTTTAATTGTCGGGTCAAAAATTGTAGACTGAACCCGAACTCGTGCTGCAGACGTTCGAACAAATCAAATACAAATGTGTCACATTGCGTGATATGTTTTCAATCAAAAAATGAAAGTGTGTGTTTATGTTTTGAGGGTTTATAAATGTTTGATGAGTGCATTTGTCTCAATATATTATTAGATCGGAGTACAGCTTTACCTTTAGAGTAGCTGATGTATGGAAAATCCTACCAGATCCGCACATAACAACAGCTGCAAACGTGCATCAGTTTGTAACAGGTCGGGCACACTATGGGAGAATCATCCAATGAAATATGACTTTAATACGGAGTATGGACCAGTCACCGCAATGAAAGCTAGCCACACAAGTAATCGTTCTGTGCTGCTTATTTAGGACCAATAACTATTGCAAGGATATACAACTGAAGTAAAATAATTAGAATGTTAGAATCGAAAAAAGAAACGAAACCTAAATCCAAACGCACATGTAAAACAGTTGCTATTGGTAATACGCGCGTACCGAAGTCTGTATATGGCAAAAATATTGAAACAGTACTGATACAATACGAGAATAAGATATTCAAGTCTGGGAAATGGCACCAAGCTAGTGTACAAAGCGATAACACAGGATTTAACTTGGAAAGAATATTGATACAATTTGACTATACAAAATAAAGTGTAGTTGGGTTCGGTAAAGTTAAAGAAAATCAAAGTACTGAAAGTACTGAGAGGCTAAACGTATTGAAAAATGTTCACAAATAACCGCTAAGCTATATTACTTTCCCCATACTCCTACACTTTGGAATGCAAAAATTACTAAAATAAGAGAACCAGAGGCTATTTTTCTTAATTTTAAGCGATTTTGTATCTTCTGTAATTCTTATTTCAAATTTGACGACAATAATGTGAATAATACACACAACCATATATTTATCGCCAACAAGCCAAATGATAAATAGCTCTATGATGAAGTTGACTAAATAAAACCTTTGAAATACCCAAGATGTTGCAATTACTATCCTATCAATATGAGGATTTAAACAAATCGAAAGGACTTTATACCTACTTCTTTATTTTGAATGAATTGCAAAGTAATAGTCCTTACTTATTATAATTATATTTGTAGTTGAGGAAAGAAGATAAGGTATACACAGCATTTCAGATAGATAAAAGTTAAGTAATTACATTAAATGTATTTACATGCCTATCTTCCTCGGAAGACCTTTTAGTGTTGATATCCCAGTCACCAGCTCCACAGAGGGGGGAGATGCGCGATACGTGTGCATCACTAGCAAGCCGTCAGTGAGCTAGGAATTGAGTTATGTCACTTACTTCTAAGGAACTGAGAGTCGTTCCGCTATGATCGGACTAAGGAGTCGGTTTGTTTAGTTACTTGCATCCGCAAATTGACACACTGTGGCTGTGTATTTGTGAGACATTCCTGTCAATGTGAGTGCGAGTATGTTGATAGTTTTCTGTGTGTTTTCTATGCAAATAAACTGTATTATATGTTCATTGTGTTATATCCCTGTGTTGATTTCCGGATACGCTGGGCCGAGGCTCGTCCCACGTTACCCTAATTCATTATTGTCTTCCTACGTCAAAATATTTGTGGAATTTTGGTGGTGTTACAAAGACGTCAAGCAAAACGTAATGCTGTACGAAATTTAAATATCTCTTTTTCAATAGCATTAAGTCGAATAGAAAATTAGATTGGTATGTATATATATATATATACCTTCCGAGAATAAATATTACACGGCGGGACGTACTAGATAGTTCGATGACCTTATTTTGCTAATGATATACAATGGGTTGTTTTGTGTTTTATGAATTGAGCCGAATGTCATTGGTTGATTAGAGCCCACACCCTTACAATGGACGACCCAAATATGTACAATATACACTCAATTCTTTTATTTGTATATATGATTTTTAAATCAAACCAAAAACATAATAGATAGACATCCGGGAAGGATCCAAAAAATACGGAAATTCCCATATGTCCCATGAATTGGAAGGAGTGTACATTTACAGCGATAAAAGATAGCGTCTTGCCGTTTTTTGATTTAGTTTTAAACATTGTATAACAGAGTATATAGCTACAGAGAAATATTCAACAGAAAGGTATGTCTGCGATAACCGTAGTCATTTATTATTATTATTTCTGAGTGATTCACGTGAGATTTAAATACATGTACACAAAATGTTTAACGTAATATACAGCTTTTCAAAATGAAGAAGTTGTAAGGGAAATCAAACTGTAAAAAGTAGTCCTGTTTGTAAGAAGATTTGACACTTGTTTACTTCAATTAAAAGTCAGCGCTCGCATTTAAATATTTCAATATCTAAGTGTTAAACATACAAAATTAAAGCGTGCGTTCATATTTTTTGAAATGTATATATCAATGATCGGAGTTAATATTGATTTGAAATCCTCGTCATCTGTATGTATTTTACTGGTTACTAACCAAGTGAATTCAATCGTCTCTGTTTTCAGCTGGATATTATTTCCTTGTTCGTATGAAAGTAATTATGTTCGTTACTCGTCAGAATGTCTAGTAGTTTTGAAGTTGTTAACCTTGTTCTCATTTGACAAGTGACATTAAACTCACTTGACTGCAATTGACATGACGGTTGTCGTTGATGAAAACGACTACCGTTCCGGAACGTTTGTTCATATTTTGCACGCGACTCATTCATTTTGAAGGTATTGATGGTATTTTGATATTTTAGGCTTCATACCCGAACATTGTAAACAAAATTTTAAACGAATCATCGATAGGAATGTAAATTAAATACTTAATACATCTCTGAATAGATTGACGCCTGATCATAGTGTCTAGTTCATATTCCTCAAATAAAGTTTGCTCAAAGAAAAACGGGATTCAACAGCGGAATCATCGATACGTGAAAACGTTTTTATAAAATTGTGAGGCAAACAATCCAAAATAAATTACATATTTATTTACATATTTATCCACTATGTTTACAATAGTTGTATAACTGTGTACGATTTTAGAGTTGAGTATAGTATATATTTGTTGTACACAGTATATTGTGCGTGTTGAGGAAGCAGATGATTAATTTCTATGTACTTATCCGGGTAAAGTAGAGATTATGTGAAATGTCTCGAATTCATTTTAATTTATATATGAGCACAATACCTGTACTTAGACCTTAAAGCATTTTGAATTATAACACTTTGAACGTAACTTTAATGTTTAGTAAGTTTGACAAATCAAATACATGTGTAATACAACATACATTCAGTCAACCATGAACGGTTGACTGAGAATAGAATTGAATATGTACATATAAAATCAAAACTAATCCTACAGTGAATCTTCTGTATTCCAGAAGATGACGATATTTGACACACATACTGAAGCGAGACACATCATTAGGTACAGAGACAAATACCTGAAGATTGACAACGGGCATCTTGTGGGAGCTTATATAGGCGGCCGTGGATCGTCATTAAAACGTAAGTCACACACTGTAGACATAATTACTTCAATAATTGTTAAAATGTAAAACGTAAGCCACACACTGTAGACATAATTACTTCAATAGTTGTTAAAATGTAAAACGTAAGCCACACACTGTAGACATAATTACTTCAATAGTTGTTAAAATGTAAAACGTAAGCCACACACTGTAGACATAATTACTTCAATAATTGTTAAAATGTAAAACGAAAGTCACACACTGTAGACATAATCATTTCAATTATTGTTAAAATGGTGTTAAGTCATATATTTTCGTTAGGCTTCAATCCATTTTGTTGCTTTAAAAAATAATTTTCGTTGGCATTTGATTTCGTTGACATTCCTCGTGGAATACATTAGTAATATACACCATGTCAGTTTCAGTCTGTTTATTGTTACTTTGATATGTAAAGTTGATCAAGTGTTACCGCAAATATAACGAGATAAAACGCCGGGGAAAATAATTACGTCGTTGTAGTAGGACAAACGGTCGAAAATAAAATTAAGAGTGAAACTCATATTACAGTTCATGATTTTCCTGAAAGGTACATCTTTTTTGCTGAAAACATTCTGTACAACCACTAAATTGAAAAAAGTGATAATCGTTGGTGTATCTTAAGCGTCATGATGATACATCGAACCATCATTTATTCTCAGAACAAGAAGAAAAGGGATTTTCATTAGCTGGCAGATAACACTGACTTTACTCTTTGTTTCTCCATGTATAACGATTTCATTTCACTGAGACGAGTGGAAAAGTTTCATATTTTGTGCACGAATGAAATTAATGATGTCGATTACACTGTATTAAACATGTAATTGACAACTCTTCTAACACTGAATTATTTTAAAAGAACGTAAAAGATTTCTATGTATATTTAGAAATGTGTATTCAAATTAATTGAAATCGGGTATGCAGGTTGCGGTTTTGTTTTTAAGAAGATGTGAATGTCGTTTAAATTAAGGTCGTTCTTTATTTAACTGAACGATTATATTTTCCCCATGCTACTTCACTTAAATTGATTCCACATGTCTTTCAGCCTATGCTGCCTTGTTTAAAAAGTACGTCTTTTTGACACCGGGAGAACAACCCAAAATCTGTTTTACAATTGCTTACTGGACTGAAAAGAAACAGTATTATTTAGCGGTGTCTCCGCAGCAAACACTGGAATTCAAGGTAAGTAAATAATTAAAAAATATATAATTTGAAAAACTCTGAACATTAAATTAATAGCCCTTTGTCAGTGGATATTCGTGAGGAGTTTTAACACAACATCTATAGTATTCAGTCAAGCAGGATTCAACAGAACAAAGGATTTGGTGACAGAAAAAGTCACAGTATGATAGTCAGTAAACCTGTCTCACTTTATCATGGACAAAGAAACATTTTCATTACTTTACAAAGCAGAGAAGCTAATTTGGT